TTGAGGTGTTTCGCGAACTTGGTCGAGCACAGGCGCTCCAGCGTGCGGGGCTCCGCGGCTGCCGCCATTATGGCAGGAAAAATGCTCAGTGGTCTATCAGAGCCTCAAGCGGCGTAGAATGCTAAGATTCGAGGGCTGGAAGACTCACGGGAGCAGCCGAGAATGGAGAAGACCCGGTAGCAGAACAATGAAAGGCTGGTAAAAGGCGTGGTGAAATTAGGGCGAGTGGAAGATCATGTAGTCAGGCAGTGGTCGTCTGGCTGCTTTTAGTAGTCATCCAACAGGCATCCTTGTTGTGCCTCCATTTCCCTGTCGATGGGAGAATCTAGCGTTATTTTTCGAAGTGGTGGATTTCGATCGAAAGCATGTGATGGGTGCATGAGATAAGCAGCGAAGCTGATTGAGTGCCACTCAAAGACGGGCATGATTGATGCGGATTCAGGGATGGGAGCAGGGCTAATTTTTCGTTTTTCTGGGAAATATATTTCAGGAATACTTTGACCTTTCAATATGAAATTCGGAGTGATTTTTGGGACTCCCTACATATCAGCGGAACCTGTGAGCTCTTCGAGAGAAGTAGGAAGGACATTGATGGAAGAAAAGGAGAAGAATGCATAGCACACACTTCTGCTGCTGCTGCTGTTCCTCACCACCACACCAAGTTCGACACTTTCCTTAATCGCGACAGAAATGCGTACAGCTTAGAGTGACAGCGTGCAACCTGGCTAAGGTGATATTAAGGGGTTGTGATAGTCTGACAGCCCTGCACTTTTGTAGTTGTGAAAGTTCCACGGGTCGCACCTTCAGATTGCGTGGAAAATTGGTCAGGGTTGCGAAGGATTGGGGGAGGGGGGGGGGGGGAGGGTCGGGAAGGGTCAGGTTGTAATTCCAGCACAAGTAAGTTTCCATGCCAGTCGGATGCCAGTCGCAATCCGGATTTCTCAGGGAGTTCCCTAAAGACGCTCGGAATCAGTCAGGAGGTTTGTGAGTTAGAAACCCTCAAAATCAGAATTTCAGCGGGAAAGACCCGGAATGTACCTGTCACTCCGGATGTTTACCCTTGAACCGAGAGCCCTGGATGGGAGAATAGAAGAGAAACAGAGAGCCATGGATTGGGTTGGGAGCAATGTCGAATCGAGTCGGGTTTTAGCGAAGCCAATGTTGATTGTGGTGGGCTCGAAATCGTGCAAACCCTGTGAGCTGGAGATATGTTTGCCCTTAGGGCTGACCACCAAATCCCTGTAAATTTTCGAGACGCTTCTAAATACGCAACTCGGAAGTGTACCCAGTGCCTGAAGCACCAGCATATGGATATACAGAAACAATCTCCACCCATATGCAGCCTGACGGGTGAACAAGCTGTTTTGAGAGAGAGAGAAAAAAAAACTAAAAAAAACTCAAAATAACAAGAAAACAAAAACGACAAGTAGTGAACTGTATTGGCTGCCAAACTGAGGTGGAGGAATTTGATTGGATGTTGCGGGAGATATGCCTGACAGCTTGGGCTGTGTGGGGCAGTGGGCCACGTCCTTCAACCATGAGAAGAAGCCAAAGCCAATCGTGCAGCATCCGATTGCGTCACGTGAATGTCTCTCGCAGTCGCACGCAAATGATTCAATCACTACAGGCAGTCCCACAAAGAGACACAACCTGTGAGAAAATGCAAGATAGCCAAGGAAATGTATTACATATGAAGTACAACCCCAAAAAGTGAAAAGAGCTACAAGGTGATGGACAAAACTATGTGGAACTTACAACGGTGCATCAAATACGTAAGATAAATGATTTTTAAGGCGATTTCTGTTCAGCACACTTGTCTTTGGTACATGAAGTTTTCAATCAAGGACACGTTATCGCATCAGCACCACTACAAACCACCCCATTAACTGTATAACCCATGGGCTTCGTGCATGTTATCCCAGTGTAACACATTTAGCACATGGACACTTTCCCGTTCATCTAATGGCAAGCTTGGCCCATTTCTTGACATTGCTGCTGCCACTGCAGACAGCAACAACCAAACAACCACATATCTAAGCAACAGTCATACATCTGTCAAGAGACTCGCTAGGGTCGCCCTAGAAGATCCTTGGAAGGGCCATAGGCTGGTATGCCTAGAGGGCTATGGGCGCGCTGACCCGCTACTTAAAGCGAAAGTATACAATAACTTTAAGGTTCAAAGGATTTTGAACCTTCAAACGGGCGAACCCTTGACATGCCCCCACACAGGAAACTTGTTAACCCTGATGGCCTGCGAGAGGGGGAAACTTGGCAAGCGCAAATAGGTGATTGGCCAAGCAACAGTTATACGACGCAGGGTCAGCACTGCAGAACGCGCATCTCACCAACCCACCAAGATGCAAAGTGCCTCGGAGTTTACTCTGCACTCTTAGGTCAAAACGTTGTCCCCCACCCTTCCCGTCGAGTAAACACCGTGCACGCGCTATTTTCAGATAACTGCGAGTTATAGAGGGACGTGAACCACGCAGCGGGGCATTATTCAGCTCACGCAGCCCTGCCTGCCGGCGCTATGTTCATTCGCTGGTGGGGTCACGACATGCCGATGCGCCCTTTCCAATCCCCTCCTTTCCCCGCTCCTATCCCCACCTTTCCCCGCTCCTATCCCTGCCTTTCCCCGTTCCGATCCCCTCCTTTCCCCACTCCGATCCCCGCCTTTCCCCCCTCCGATCCCCGCCTTTCCCCACTCCGATCCCCGCCTTTCCCCGCTCCGATCCCTGCCTTTCCCCGCTCCGATCCCCGCCTTTCCCCGTTCCGATCCCAGCCATTCCCCGCTCCGATCCCCGCCTTTCCCCGCTCCGATCCCCGCCTTTCCCCGCTCCGATCCCCGCCTTTCCCCGCTCCGATCCCCGCCTTTCCCTGCTCCGATCCCCGCCATTCCTCGTTCCGATTCCCGCCTATCCCCGCTCCGATCCCCGCCTTTCCCCGCTCCGATCCCTGCCTTTCCCCGCTCCAATCCAGACGGGGTAACGGGGAGAGGGGGAGGAGGAATGGAGGGGATGGGGGGGGGGGGGTGGGGGGTGGGGAACAGGAAGGGTGGCAGGGAATAGGGGGAAAGTCAGGACTCTAGAGGGGCGAATGGTCGCCTTCCCTAGCCCATGCATCTCCCCTGCTCACCCACCTCCTCCCATGCCCGCTCCCCATCTCCCCTACTCACCCACCTCCTCCCATGCCCGCTCCCCATCTCCCCTGCTCATCCACCTCCTCCCATGCTCACCCACCTCCTCCTATGCCCTCTCCCCATCTCCGTTGCTCACCCACCTCCTCCTATCCCTCTCCCCAACTCCCCTGCTCACCCACCTCCTCCCATGCCCTCTCCCCATCTTCCCTGCTCACCCACCTCCTTACATGCCCTCTCCCCATCTCCCATGCTCACCCACCTCTGCCCATGCCCTCTCCCCGTCTCCCCTGCTCACCCACCTCCTCCCATGCTCGCTCCCCATCTCCCCTGCTCACCCACCTCCTCCCATGTCCTCTCCCCATCTCCTGCTCTCCTGCTCTCCCGCCCTCCCCCTCTCCCGCTCGCATGCTGTCCTGCTCTCCCGCTCCCCCGCTCTCCCGCTCTCCTGCTCTCCTGCTCTCCTGCTCTCCCGCTCCCCACTCCATGCAGCTCCTTACCCCATGTTGCATTCCGCCCCATGCTGCATTCCGCCCCATGCTGCATCCCACCCCATGCTGCATCCCACCCCATGCTGCATCCCACCCCATGCTGCGTCCCACCTCATGCTCTCTCCCCCTCTCCCATGCTCTCTCCCCCTCTCCCATGCTCTCTACCCCTCTCCCATGCTCTCTCCCCCTCTCCTATGCTCTCTCCCCCTCTCCCATGCTCTCTCCCCCTCTCCCATGGCTACACGCCCCTCTCTGATGCCCACCCCCTCTATTGCCCTTCCGTCCACCTTACCTCTCATCATCCCCCCCCGTTCTGTCTTCAACAACCATACAGCCCATCTCCCACCGTACAACTCATTCCACCCCCTTCGCCCCCCTCATGCCGCCTGCAATCCCCCTCCTCTCAAGGTCTCTCCCCATCTCCCTTGCTCTATGCCCTCCTGGCTTGCTCTCCCCCCAAAATCTCCACGCTCCCCAGATCTCCCACTCTCAACCCTCATATCCCTGCCCACCTTCCATCTCCCATGCGCCCTCCCTTCCCCCCCCTCCTCCCCTTCTTCCGTACTCTGCTCCCCTCCTCCAGCCACGCCTGCATGCTCCCATCCGCCATGTGATTAGAGGGCCTGGCCAAGTCGGGGGATTATGAGGCAGCCATAGATAGATGGTATGGAGTAGGTGATGAAAGAAGACAAGACAGCATGGGAGAGGGTTGGTGTTGAGGGGGTGATTATCTACAGAGGAGCCAAAGACATGCTGCAGTGCTGTGAAGTCTATTTCATTCAAACATTATCGTCATCCATAACCAAGGCTCTTTGGGTCAAGGTACACTTGATGGCTGCAAATACAGGCCACCGTCAATAATTACAGGCTAATGCATTGTAACTCGGCAATCCAGACGAGATCCCTTCTGTCACCCTCGTTGCATCTTCACATCAACCCAGCTTATGCACCCCATACCCTTCCCCACAATATCCTCCATGGCCAAAATCACACCCCTAACTTTGTTACGGGGTATTGTTCTTGGTTGACTCCGCACACCACGTCGCCTCTCTCCCGCTTTCCCATGCTCACTCCGCTCTCCTTTCCACCCCAGGGCAAGGGGGAGAGTAGGAGATGACAGAAGGGCAGCGAGGCTGAGGGGGATGTGCACAGTATGGGGAGGAATGAGAAGGGAGGAATGAGAAGGGTAGGGGAGGGGAACGAGACTGGGATAGGCAGGGAAGAAAGGGCAGTGTGGGATAGGAGACGCGTAGAGGGGGATGGGCATGGGGTTGAGTAGGTGAGAAGGGCAACAAAGGCCAGAATGGGATGGCCAGAGAGGGAGGGGAGTGAGAGAAGGGCAGTGACGGGTAGCATGGCATTGGCAGGGGAGGGACGGGGGGGGGGTTGGGGGGAAGAGAGGGGGGGTATGGAGAAAGGGCAGTGAGGGGCGAGAGTGGGTAGCGCGGAGAAGGAGGCGGGGTGAGAGGGGGGTAGCGAGGGGCAGATGGGATGGGGACTGGTTGGGGGGGGATGAGATGTCCTGAAGTGGGGGAAGGAGAGCACTGGAGGGGGGGAAGGAGAGCACTGGAGGGGGGGAAGGAGAGCACTGGAGGGGGGGAAGGAGAGCACTGGAGGAGGGGAAGTAGAGCACTGGAGGGGGGGAAGGAGAGCACTGGAGGGGGGGAAGGAGAGCACTGGAGGGGGGGAAGGAGAGCACTGGAGGGGGGGAAGTAGAGCACTGGAGGGGGGGAAGGAGAGCACTGGAGGGGGGGAAGGAGAGCACTGGAGGGGGGAAGGAGAGCACTGGAGGGGGGAAGGAGAGCACAGGAGGGGGGGAAGGAGAGCACTAGAGGGGGGAAAGGAGAGCACTGGAGGGGGGAAAGGAGAGCACTGGAGGGGGGAAAGGAGAGCAGTGGAGGGGGGAAGGAGAGCACTGGAGGGGGGGAAGGAGAGCACCAGAGGGGGGGAAGGAGAGCACTGGGAGGGGGGTAAGGAGAGCACTGGAGAGGGGGAAGGAGAGCACTGGAGGGGAGGAAGGAGAGCACTGGAGGGGGGAAAGGAGAGCACTGGAGGGGGGAAGGAGAGCACTGGAGGGGGGGAAGGAGAGCACTGGAGGGGGGGAAGGAGAGCACTGGAGGGGGGGAAGGAGAGCACTGGAGGGGGGGAAGGAGAGCACTGGAGGGGGGGAAGGAGAGCACTGGAGGGGGGGAAGTAAAGCACTGGAGGGGGGGAAGGAGAGCACTGGAGGGGGGGAAGGAGAGCACTGGAGGGGGGGAAGGAGAGCACTGGAGGGGGGGAAGGGGAGCACCAGAGGGGGGAAGGAGGGCACTGGAGGGGGGTAAGGAGAGCACTGGAGGGGGGGAAGGAGAGCACTGGAGGGGAGGAAGGAGAGCACTGGAGGGGGGGAAGGAGAGCACTGGAGGGGGGAAGGAGAGCACTGGAGGGGGGAAAGGAGAGCACTGGAGGGGGGAAAGGAGAGCAGTGGAGGGGGGAAGGAGAGCACTGGAGGGGGGGAAGGAGAGCACCAGAGGGGGGGAAGGAGAGCACTGGAGGGGGGTAAGGAGAGCACTGGAGGGGGGAAGGAGAGCACTGGAGGGGGGGAAGGAGAGCACTGGAGGGGGGGAAGGAGAGCACAGGAGGGGGGGAAGGAGAGCACTAGAGGGGGGAAAGGAGAGCACTGGAGGGGGGAAAGGAGAGCAGTGGAGGGGGGAAAGGAGAGCAGTGGAGGGGGGGAAGGAGAGCACTGGAGGGGGGGAAGGAGAGCACCAGAGGGGGAAAGGAGAGCACTGGAGGGGGGGAAGGAGAGCACTGGAGGGGGGGAAGGAGAGCACCAGAGGGGGGAAAGGAGAGCACTGGAGGGGGGTAAGGAGAGCACTGGAGGGGGGGAAGGAGAGCACTGGAGGGGAGGAAGGAGAGCACTGGAGGGGGGGAAGGAGAGCACTGGAGGGGGGGAAGGAGAGCACTGGAGGGGGGGAAGGAGAGCACTGGAGGGGGGAAAGTAGAGCACTGGAGGGGGGGAAGGAGAGCACTGGAGGGGGGGAAGGAGAGCACTGGAGGGGGGGAAGGAGAGCACCAGAGGGGGGAAGGAGAGCACCAGAGGGGGGGAAGGAGAGCACTGGAGGGGGGGAAGGAGAGCACCAGAGAGGGGGAAGGAGAGCACTGGAGGGGGGTAAGGAGAGCACTGGAGGGGGGGAAGGAGAGCACTGGAGTGGGGGAAGGAGAGCACTGGAGGGGGGGAAGGAGAGCACAGGAGGGGGGGAAGGAGAGCACTAGAGGGGGGAAAGGAGAGCACTGGAGGGGGGAAAGGAGAGCACTGCAGGGGGGAAAGGAGAGCAGTGGAGGGGGGGAAGGAGAGCACTGGAGGGGGGGAAGGAGAGCACCAGAGGGGGGAAGGAGAGCACTGGAGGGGGGTAAGGAGAGCACTGGAGGGGGGGAAGGAGAGCACTGGAGGGGAGAAGGAGAGCACTGGAGGGGGGGAAGGAGAGCACTGGAGGGGGGAAGGAGAGCACTGGAGGGGGGAAGGAGAGCACTGGAGGGGGGAAGGAGAGCACTGGAGGGGGGGAAGGAGAGCACTGGAGGGGGGGAAGTAAAGCACTGGAGGGGGGGAAGGAGAGCACTGGAGGGGGGAAGGAGAGCACTGGAGGGGGGGAAGGAGAGCACTGGAGGGGGGAAGGGGAGCACCAGAGGGGGGAAGGAGGGCACTGGAGGGGGGTAAGGAGAGCACTGGAGGGGGGAAGGAGAGCACTGGAGGGGAGGAAGGAGAGCACTGGAGGGGGGGAAGGAGAGCACTGGAGGGGGGAAGGAGAGCACTGGAGGGGGGAAAGGAGAGCACTGGAGGGGGGAAAGGAGAGCAGTGGAGGGGGGGAAGGAGAGCACTGGAGGGGGGGAAGGAGAGCACCAGAGGGGGGAAGGAGAGCAGTGGAGGGGGGTAAGGAGAGCACTGGAGGGGGGGAAGGAGAGCACTGGAGGGGGGAAGGAGAGCACTGGAGGGGGGGAAGGAGAGCACAGGAGGGGGGGAAGGAGAGCACTAGAGGGGGGAAAGGAGAGCACTGGAGGGGGGAAAGGAGAGCACTGGAGGGGGAAAGGAGAGCAGTGGAGGGGGGAAGGAGAGCACTGGAGGGGGGGAAGGAGAGCACCAGAGGGGGGAAAGGAGAGCACTGGAGGGGGGGAAGGAGAGCACTGGAGGGGGGGAAGGAGAGCACCAGAGGGGGAAAGGAGAGCACTGGAGGGGGTAAGGAGAGCACTGGAGGGGGGGAAGGAGAGCACTGGAGGGGAGGAAGGAGAGCACTGGAGGGGGGGAAGGAGAGCACTGGAGGGGGGGAAGGAGAGCACTGGAGGGGGGGAAGGAGAGCACTGGAGGGGGGAAAGTAGAGCACTGGAGGGGGGGAAGGAGAGCACTGGAGGGGGGAAGGAGAGCACTGGAGGGGGGAAGGAGAGCACCAGAGGGGGGGAAGGAGAGCACCAGAGGGGGGGAAGGAGAGCACTGGAGGGGGGGAAGGAGAGCACTGGAGGGGGGGAAGGAGAGCACTGGAGGGGGGTAAGGAGAGCACTGGAGGGGGGGAAGGAGAGCACTGGAGGGGGGGAAGGAGAGCACTGAAGGGGGGGAAGGAGAGCACAGGAGGGGGGGAAGGAGAGCACTAGAGGGGGGAAAGGAGAGCACTGGAGGGGGGAAAGGAGAGCACTGCAGGGGGAAAGGAGAGCAGTGGAGGGGGGGAAGGAGAGCACTGGAGGGGGGAAGGAGAGCACCAGAGGGGGGGAAGGAGAGCACTGGAGGGGGGTAAGGAGAGCACTGGAGGGGGAAGGAGAGCACTGGAGGGGAGGAAGGAGAGCACTGGAGGGGGGGAAGGAGAGCACTGGAGGGGGGAAGGAGAGCACTGGAGGGGGGGAAGGAGAGCACTGGAGGGGGGAAGGAGAGCACTGGAGGGGGGAAGGAGAGCACAGGAGGGGGGAAGGAGAGCACTAGAGGGGGGAAAGGAGAGCACTGGAGGGGGGAAAGGAGAGCACTGGAGGGGGGAAAGGAGAGCAGTGGAGGGGGGAAGGAGAGCACTGGAGGGGGGGAAGTAGAGCACCAGAGGGGGGGAAGGAGAGCACTGGAGGGGGTAAGGAGAGCACTGGAGGGGGGGAAGGAGAGCACTGGAGGGGGGGAAGGAGAGCACTGGAGGGGGGGAAGGAGAGCACTGGAGGGGGGAAGGAGAGCACTGGAGGGGGGAAGTAAAGCACTGGAGGGGGGGAAGGAGAGCACTGGAGGGGGGAAGGAGAGCACTGGAGGGGGGAAGGAGAGCACTGGAGGGGGGGAAGGAGAGCACCAGAGGGGGGGAAGGAGGGCACTGGAGGGGGTAAGGAGAGCACTGGAGGGGGGGAAGGAGAGCACTGGAGGGGGGAAAGGAGAGCACTGGAGGGGGGGAAGGAGAGCACTGGAGGGGGGAAGGAGAGCACTGGAGGGGGGGGGAAGGAGGAGAGAGCACTGGAGGGGGAAGGAGAGCACTGGAGGGGGGAAGGAGAGCACTGGAGGGGGGGAAGGAAAGCACTGGAGGGGGGAAGGAGAGCACTGGAGGGGGGGAAGGAGAGCACTGGAGGGGGGGAAGGAGAGCACTGGAGGGGGGTAAGGAGAGCACTGGAGGGGGGGAAGGAGAGCACTGGAGGGGAGGAAGGAGAGCACTGGAGGGGGGAAGGAGAGCACTGGAGGGGGGAAGGAGAGCACTGGAGGGGGGGAAGGAGAGCACTGGAGGGGGGGAAGGAGAGCACTGGAGGGGGGGAAGGAGAGCACTGGAGGGGGGGAAGGAGAGCACTGGAGGGGGGGAAGGAGAGCACTGGAGGGGGGAAGGAGAGCACCAGAGGGGGGAAAGGAGAGCACTGGAAGGGGGTAAGGAGAGCACTGGAGGGGGGGAAGGAGAGCACTGGAGGGGAGGAAGGAGAGCACTGGAGGGGGGGAAGGAGAGCACTGGAGGGGGGGAAGGAGAGCACTGGAGGGGGGGAAGGAGAGCACTGGAGGGGGGAAAGTAGAGCACTGGAGGGGGGGAAGGAGAGCACTGGAGGGGGGGAAGGAGAGCACTGGAGGGGGGGAAGGAGAGCACCAGAGGGGGGGAAGGAGAGCACTGGAGGGGGGTAAGGAGAGCACTGGAGGGGGGGAAGGAGAGCACTGGAGGGGAGGAAGGAGAGCACTGGAGAGGGGGAAGGAGAGCACTGGAGGGGGGGAAGTAGAGCACTGGAGGGGGGGAAGTAGAGCACTGGAGGGATTTTTGTACTGGAGCATTGGAGGCGCTGGAGGCGCCTCAAAACTAGACTCCTATCACGCGGTTTTTATACAGAGAGGATTTTTGTTACATGGAAGGCTGGGCGTAACATTCAAAAGTTACTGGTGCGCGTGAGGCTCCCGAAGCTACCAGTTGGAGAACCGTGACATTTACATGACATCACCTCGAAGACTGAAGACTTGACCCGAGGAATTTTCCAGGGTGTTCAGGATTGGCTGCCCAGATTTCAGCCTCGATTGTTACATGCCTAGATTTTGGTACTGTCGAGGGTTTTCCTGCTTAAAGAGCTTCTCTTACTCACTTGCATAGTTCCTTTCTGCACTGATGAAGATGTTCTAGGGTCCTTACCTTAGACGTCGAAACATGTTTGCTTTAATATTTTAAATCGGAACTGAGTTCAGTTTTCTGAGATCTCGGCTATTACACGGGCAACTTGTGTATTTCACTGTCAATCTTTTTGCTAAAAGTTTCGATTACACTGCTGCTCCCTTCTATCATGGCTAACAACGCGGGGAGGGGGAGAAAGGATAGCAGGAGAGGGGGGATGACGAGCAAAAGAGGGGGGGGCGTTGTGTTAGGCTATAGAGGAAGAGATATGCGCACGTGAATCGGGGGGGCGTTGCGTGAGTGGCGCGGGGAGACCGCAGTGAGGAGCGCGGCAAAGGTTTAGCGGCAGCGCTGATTTCGCGCTGGTTTCTGGGCTAGAGAGGTCGCAAGGTTAGAGCTGTGGCGCGGATCGCGGTTTAGAACAGAGCAGCTTCCCGTTTGGTGCGCGCGACGAGGCGGGATAGACGTGAGAGTGAGCGGGGGATACTTGAGTCGTGTCTGATCTGCGTCGTAGACTAGACTAGTGCCGTGGATTGTGTTGGGTGGAGTTGGTTTTGGGGCAGGAAGGCCCATTACCTCGATGTCCCTGTTTCCTTGTCTCCAGCTTTCTGTCGCCTCGCTCCTCTGCGTGCTTGATTGTGTTTTTTTTCCTGATTTCGTTTTCCATACGAACCTTCTCAAATGTACTCTGCCTACTTGCGTGTTTGCGAACGCCTTCTTAGGCGTGGTGGGATCAGGGCATCGCCAACCGTCCACGCTTGCGATGTCGTCAGCGTTGGCGAGGTCGTTTCTTCCGTTGCAAGAGCCCTTCCCTTCGCGTGGACCATGCTTGGGTTTTTAGCGAGGGTGCGCTCCTCACTGATTTCGCCACCCCTCTTCAAGTTCAAAGTGCTTTGAACCTTAAAGTTAGTGCATACGTTCGCTTTAACAAGCCCCTTCAGCACAGTGGTTAGCGGCTGATCTTTCTGAGACCTACTACCATCCTAGTCAAAGCCCCCACCCTAAATCTGGTCGTCGTACCACAGCCTCCTGTGCTAGAATTCTCCCATGCGCTCGTTGGTGCCACAGCCCTGTGGCCAAGTTCGCCAGCATGTCTCGTTTCGAGCCCTGTTTTGAGGCGCCGCCTTACTTCTCCCCAGCACCACCACCGCCAGCAGCAGCAGCGGCAGCAGTATCGCCGCTGATTCTGGCTGAGGCTCCCACTGCTTCCTCCATGTGCTCGTGCCACACTGCCTTCACATCCTACTTCCCAGCAGCACCATCGCCCGCAGCACCAGCAGAAGTAGCACCATCGGCCTCAGTGATTCTAGCCGAGGCCCCCACCGCTTCCTCCATGCGCTCGTACCACGGCCCTATGGTCGAGTTTGCCACCATGTCCCTGCCAGCTGTCAGGTGCCTGATTGGCCGCAGCACGCCAAACACCGCCAGGTCAGCAAGGTTCGGGGTGTCTCCTCCTGATGACGTGGACAGCACATAATGAACCAAGTCAGAGGGGCGCATGGGTGAAGGGGGGGAAGGGGGAGTACGGGCGCAGGGAAAAAACACACAGAACAGGCCAACGCACACTCAAGGTAACAACAACAACAACAAGAATGTGGTTGCGATGACAGCTGGAAGGTACAGGTGAACTACACCCACAACACAGCTCACCCAGGAACTTCCTGCCTCCAAGCACCGCCACTCACACATCAGCCGCCTTGTAGAAGCCCCTGCGCTCGTCGCAATGCCGTGCGACGATCAGTGAGTCACCAGAGGAGAGCAACTTACCAGAGAACTTCCAGCCTCCGAGCGCCGCCACCCACACGTCAGCCGCTTTGTAGAGGTTCCTCCTCTCCACTGCTATCCCGAACTTCTTCTTCAGCTTCTTGCCTGTCAGTGAACCTACAAGGCTACAACTCACCCAGGAACTTCCTCTCTCCAAGCGCCGCCACCCACTCGTCAGCCGGCTAATAAAGGTCCTTCCTCTCGTCTGCTATCCCTTGCTTCTTCTACAGCTTCCTGCCGATCAGAGACTCACCAGAGGAGTGCAACTTATCAAAGAAGTTCCTGCCAACGAGGGGACAACTCACCCAGGAACTTCCTCTCTCCAAGAGCCGCCACCCACTCGTCAGCCGCCTTATAAAGGTCCTTGCGCTCGTCCGCAATGCCGTGCTTCTTCTTCAGCTTCTTGCCGATCACATACATGGCACCCGCGCCAAAGTACCGTGCCATAGTGCGCTCCCACGCCGTGAAGTTGCCTGGGGGGAGGAAGGAAGGAGGAAGGGGGGGGTGAGCGGGGTGGGGTGGAGCAGGGAGGGGGAGAGTCTGTGTCCATGCCCGTGATTCTTTCCATAGTGTGAGGGAGAGTCTGAGAGTCCCTTCTACAGCTTCTTCCCAATCCCATAGACGGTGTCCGCACCAAAAAACTGCGTGCCATCCTGCACTCCAATGCTGTGAAGTTGCCCAGGGGAAACAGAGGGCAGGGGGGAGGGAGGGAGAAGCAGGGATGGAGTGAGGGGGGGAGTGGACGAGGGAAGAGGGAAGAGGGAAGAGGGGAGAGGGGAGAGGGGAGAGGGAAGAGGGAAGAGGGAAGATGGAAGAGGGGAGAGGGGAGAGGGGAGAGGGGAGAGGGGAGAGGGAAGAGGGAAGAGGGGAGAGGGGAGAGGGGAGAGGGGAGAGGGGAGAGGGAAGAGGGAAGATGGAAGAGGGAAGAGGGGAGAGGGGAGAGGGAGAGGGGAGAGGGAAGAGGGAAGAGGGGGAGAGGGAAGAGGGGAGAGGGGAGGGGAGAGGGAGGGGGAGAGGGGAGAGGGGAGAGGGAGAGGGAGAGGGGAGAGGGGAGAGGGGAGGGGAGGGGAGGGGAGAGGGGAGAGGGGAGAGGGAGAGGGGAGAGGGGAGAGGGGAGGGGAGAGGGGAGGGGAGAGGGGAGGGGAGAGGGGAAGGGAGAGGGGAGAGGGGAAGAGGGGAGGAGAGGGAGAGGGAGAGGGGAGGGAAGGGGGAGGGAGAGGGGAGAGGGGGAGAGGGGAGAGGGAAGAGGGAGAGGAGAGGGGAAGAGGGGAAGAGGGGAGAGGGGAGAGGGGAGAGGGGGAGAGGGGAAGAGGGGAGAGGAAGGAAAGAGGGGAGAGAGGGAAGAGGGAAGAGGGAAGAGGGAGAGGGAAGAGGGAAGAGGAGAGGGGAGAGGGGAAGGGGAGAGGGAGAGGGGAGAGGGGAGAGGAGAGGGGAGAGGGGAGAGGGAGAGGGGAGAGGGGAGAGGGGAGAGGGAGAGAGGGGAGAGGGGAGGGAGGGAGAGGGAGAGGGGAGAGGGGAGAGGAGAGGGGGAGAGGAGGAGGGGAGAGGGAGAGGAAGAGGAAGAGGGAAGAGGGAAGAGGGGAAGGGGAGAGGGAGAGGGAGAGAGGGGAGAGGGGAGAGGGGAGAGGGGAGAGGGGAGAGGGAGAGGGGAGAGGGGAGAGGGAGAGGGGAGAGGAGAGGGAGAGGGGAGAGGGGAGAGGGGAGAGGGGAGAGGGAGAGGGGAGAGGGGAGAGGGGAGAGGGGAGAGGGAGAGGGGAGAGGGAGAGGGGGAGAGGGGAGAGGGGAGAGGAGAGGGGAGGGAGAGAGGGGAGGGGGAGGGGAGAGGGAAGAGGGGAGAGGGAGAGGGGAGAGGGGAGAGGGGAGAGGGGAGAGGGGAGAGGAAGAGGGAAGAGGGGAGAGGAGAGGAGAGGGAGAGGGGAGAGGGAGAGGGAGAGGGGAGAGGGGAGAGGGGAGAGGGGAGAGGGGAACGAGGGGAGAGGGGAGAGGGGAGAGGGGAAGAGGGGAGAGGGGAGAGGGGAGAGGGGAGAGGGGAGAGGGGAGAGGGAAGGGGAGAGGGGAGAGGGGAGAGGGGAGAGGGGAGAGGGAGAGGGAGAGGGAGAGGGAAGAGGGGAGAGGGGAGAGGGGAGAGGGGAGAGAGGGGAAGAGGGGAGAGGGGAGAGGGGAGAGGGAGAGGGGAGAGGGAAGAGGGAGAGGGGAGAGGGGAGAGGGAGAGGAAGGGAGAGGGGAGAGGGGAGAGGGGAGAGGGGAGAGGGGAGAGGAGAGGGGAGAGGGGAAGAGGGAAGAGGGGAGAGGGGAGAGGGGAAGAGGGGAGAGGGGAGAGGGAGAGGGGAGAGGGGAGAGGGGAGAGGGGAGAGGGAGAGGGGAGAGGGAGAGGGGGAGAGGGGAAGAAGTGGGAGAGGGAGAGGGAAGAGGGAAGAGGGGAGAGGGAGAGGGAGAGGGGAGAGGGGAGAGGGAGAGGGGAGAGGGAGAGGGGAAGAGGGGAGAGGGGAGAGGGGAGAGGGGAGAGGGGAGAGGGGAGAGGGGAGAGGGGAGAGGGGAGAGGGGGAGAGGGGAAGAGGGGAGAGGGGAGAGGGGAGAGGGGAGAGGGGAGAGGGGAGAGGGGAGAGGGGAGAGGGGAGAGGGGAGAGGGGAGAGGGGAGAGGGGAGAGGGGAGAGGGAGAGGGGAGAGGGGAGAGGGAAGAGGGGAGAGGGAGAGAGGGGAGAGGGGAGAGGGAAGGGAAGAGGGAAGAGGGGAGAGGGGAGAGGGGAGAGGGAGAGGGGAGAGGGGAGAGGGGAGAGGGAGAGGGGAGAGGGGAGAGGGGAGAGGGGAGAGGGAAGAGGGGAGAGGGGAGAGGGGAGAGGGGAGAGAGGGAGAGGGGAGAGGGAGAGGGAAGAGGGAAGAGGGAAGAGGGAAGAGGGAGAGGGGAGAGGGAGAGGGAGAGGGGAGAGGGGAGGGAGAGGGAGAGGGGAGAGGGAGAGGGGAGAGGGGAGAGGGAGAGGGGAGAGGGGAGAGGGGAGAGGGAGAGGGGAGAGGGGAGAGGGGAGAGGGAGAGGGGGGAAGAGGGGAGAGGGGAGAGGGGAGAGGGGAGAGGGAGAGGGGAGAGGGAGAGGGGAGAGGGGAGAGGGGAGAGGGGAGAGGGAGAGGGGAGAGGGAGAGGGGAGAGGGGAGAGGGGAGAGGGGAGAGGGGAGAGGGGAGAGGGGAGAGGGGAGAGGGGAGAGGGGGAGAGGGGAGAGGGGAGAGGGGAGAGGGGAGAGGGGAGAGGGAGAGAGGGGAGAGGGGAGAGGGGAGAGGGGAGAGGGAGAGGGAGAGGGGAGAGGGGAGAGGGGAGAGGGAGAGGGAGAGGGAGAGGGAAGTGGGGAGAGGGAAGAGGGAAGAGGGGAGAGGGGAGAGGGAGAGGGAGAGGGAGAGGGGAGAGGGGAGAGGGGAGAGGGAGAGGGAGAGGGGAGAGGGAGAGGGGAGAGGGGAGAGGGGAGAGGGGAGAGGGGAAGAGGGGAAGAGGGAGAAGAGGGAAGAGGAAGGGAAGAGGGAAGAGGGAAGAGGGAAGAGGGAAGAGGGAAGAGGGAAGAGGGAAGAGGGAAGAGGGAAGAGGGAAGAGGGAAGAGGGAAGAGGGAAGAGGGAAGAGGGAAGAGGGAAGAGGGAAGAGGGAAGAGGGAAGAGGGAAGAGGAGAGGGAAGAGGGAAGAGGGAAGAGGGACGAGGGAAGAGGGAAGAGGAGAGGGAGAGGGAAGAGGGAAGAGGGAAGAGGGAAGAGGGAAGAGGGAAGAGGGAAGAGGGACGAGGGACGAGGGACGAGGGAAGAGGGAAGAGGGAAGAGGGAAGAGGGAAGAGGGAAGAGGGAAGAGGGAAGAGGGAAGAGGGAAGAGGGAAGGGGGAAGGGGGA